TACTTGTACTGTTAAAGCCTCTTTTGGGTCAGTGTTAGAAGTAATTACACTCTTACAGCTGTTTCTGCTTCATAATGCTTTACAGCTGGGACATATAGAGCTGTCCAATAAACATCTACTCTCAAAAATCACCTTCACATCCGACATAAATGATTAGAATAATACATTCTGTTATGCCATCTCAGGGTTTTGTTCACAAGAGAGAGTCCAGCAACCCTGCAGAGGACACTCACCTCCAGTATCCGCAATCTTATTATTTTGGTCACTACCCAGAGCTCATGGCCATAGGTGAGAGTAGGAGCATAGACCGACCGGTAAACAGAGAGCTTTACCTTACAGCTCAGCTCCTGCTTCACCACAACAGACTGGCACAGAGTCCACAATACTACAGACGCTGCACCAATCCTGTCAATCTCACGCTCCATTCTTCCTTCACTTAGAGATAGGGTGAGAAGTTCAGTTATCTGGAGAGAGACTCAGAGTAGAACCGCTGCTCCTCCACATCGAGAGGAGCCAGTCGAGTTGGTTTGGGCATCTGGTAAGGATGCTTCATGGGTGCCTCCATACTCCGGGCATGTCCGACTGGGAGGAGACCCCGGGGAAGACCCAGGACCCGCTGGAGAGACTATGTCTCTCGGTTGGTCTGGGAACACCTTGGAGTCCTCCCAGAAGAGCTGGAAGAGGTGACTGTGGAAAGAGATGTCTGGGCCGCCCTGCTCAAGCTGCTGCCCCCACGATCTGACTTCAGAACAAGCAGAAGATGATGGATGGATGGATGGATGGATGGATATCTCAGAACAAAGTGATTTATCAATAATTAAATAAGTAATACAGGTGCATTTCAAAAAGTTAGAATATTGTGAAGAATTTCAAATTATTTTGTCAAACATGTCAGAAAGTGAAACTCGTATAATAGATTCATTACACAGAATGAAATATTTTAGCCTTTATTTCTTGTAATTTTGATGATTATGGTTTAGAGATAGTGAAAAAAAAACTAAAGTCAGTGTCTCAGAAAATTAGAATATTCCTCATCCAGCTTCTGGTACCTTTGTCAGTGTGGGCAGGAGACAAGTCCTACTGGAAAATAAAATCAGCATCTCCATAAAGCTCGTCAGCAGAAGGAAGCATGACGTCTCTAAATGTCCTGGTAGACTGTGGACTTCAGAAAACACAGTGGACCAACACCAGCAGAGGACATGACACCAAACCATCACTGACTGTGGAAACTTCACTCAGGACTTCAAGCAACATGGATTCTGGACCTCTGCACTCTTCATCCAGAGTCTGGGACCTTGATTTCTAAATGACATGAAAATTGAATTTCATGTGAAAAGAGGACATTGGACCACTGAGCAACAGTCCAGTTCTTTTGTCTCTCAGTAGGTAAGACGTTTCTGATGCTGTCTCTGGTTCAGGAGTGGCTAGACTTGAAGAATTAGACATTTGTAGCTCATGTCCAGGAGTTACTCAGCTGGTTATGATGACACACCAGGAGTTTAAAATATTGAACATCTTCACTATATTCTAATTTCCTGAGACACTGAGTTTTGTTTTTCATTATCTGTAAGTCATAATAATCAAAATGACAAGAAATAAAGACTTGAAATATTTCACTCTGAGTGTAATAAATCTTTATTATATCCATCCATCCATCCATTTTCTTCCGCTTATCCGGGGTCGGGTTGCGGGGGTAGCAGCCTAAGTAGGGAGGCCCAGACTTCCCTCTCCCCAGCCACTTGGGCCAGCTCTTCCGGGGGAATCCCGAGGCGTTCCCAGGCCAGCCGAGAAACATAGTCCCTCCAGCGTGTCCTGGGTCTTCCTCTGGGCCTCCTTCCGGTGGGACGTGTCCGGAACACCTCACCAGGGAGGCGTCCAGAAGGCATCCTAAACAGATGCCCAAGCCACCTCAACTGGCTCCTCTCGACATGGAGAAGCAGCGGCTCTACTCCGAGTCCCTCCCGGATGATTGAGCTTCTCACCCTGTCTCTAAGGGAGAGCCCAGACACCCTGCGGAGAAAACTCATTTCGGCCGCTTGTATCCGAGATCTCATTCTTTCGGTCACAACCCAAAGCTCGTGACCATAGATTAGGGTGGGAACGTAGATCGATGGGTAAATTGAGAGCTTCGCCTTTTGACTCAGCTCTCTCTTCACCACGACAGACCTGTACAGCGCCCGCTTCACTTCAGATGCTGCACCTATCCGCCTATCGATCTCACGCTCCAATTTTCCCTCATTCGTGAACAAGACCCCAAGATACTTGAACTCCTTCACTTGGGGTAGGACCTCCTCCCTGACCCGGAGAGGGCACTCTACCCTTTTCCGGCTCAAGACCATGGCCTCGGATTTGGAGGGACTGATCTTCATCCCGGCCGCATCGCATTCGGCTGCGAACCGCTCCAGCGAAAGCTGTAGATCACGATCTGATGAAGCCAATAAGACCACATCATCTGCAAAAAGCAGAGATGCAATCCTAAGGCCACCAAAACGGATCCCCTCAACACCTTGGCTGCGCCTAGAAATTCTGTCCATAAAAGTTATGAACAGAATCGGTGACAAAAGGCAACCTTGGCGGAGTCCAACTCTCACCGGGAACAAGCCCGACTTACTGCCGGCAATGCGGACCAGGCTCTGACACCGGTCATACAGGGACCTAACAGCCCGTATCAAAGGGCCCGGTACCCCATACTCCCAGAGTACCCTCCACAGGGCCCCCCGAGGGACGCGGTCGAACGCCTTCTCCAAGTCCACAAAGCACATGTAGACTGGTTGGGCAAACTCCCACGCACCCTCCAGGACCCTGCTGAGAGTGTAGAGCTGGTCCAGTGTTCCACAGCCAGGACGAAAACCGCACTGTTCCTCCTGAATCCGAGGTTCGACCCTCCTCTCCAGAACCCCCTAATAGACCTTACCAGGGAGGCTTAAGAGCGTGATTCCCCTCTAGTTGGAACACACTCTACGGTCCCCCTTTTTGAATAGGGGGACCACCACCCCGGTCTGCCAATCCAGGGGAACTTCCCCCGATGTCCACGCAATATTGCAGAGTTGCGTAAGCCAACACAACCCTACAACATCCAGAGCCTTTAGGAACTCTGGGCGAATCTCATCCACCCCTGGGGCCTTGCCACCAAGGAGCTTTTCAACCACCTCGGTGACCTCAGCACCAGAGATTGGAGGGCCCGACCCAGAGTCCCCAGGCTCCGCTTCCTTAGTGGAAGACGTACTGGTGGGATTGAGGAGGTCTTCAAAGTATTCCGCCCACCGACCCACAACATCCCGAGTTGAGGTCAGCAGCACACCACTCCCACTATAAACAGTGTTGGTGGCGTACCGCTTTCCCCCCCTGAGACGCCGGATGGTGGACCAGAATCGTCTCGAAGCCGTGCGGAAGTCGTTCTCCATGGCCTCTCCGAACTCCTCCCATGCCCGAGTTTTTGCCTCAGCAACCACCCGAGCCGCATGTCGCTTGGACTGCCGGTACCCATCAGCTGCTTCCGGGGTCCCACAGGCCAAAAATGCCCGATAGGACTCCTTCTTCAGCCTGACAGCATCCCTCACCGACGGTGTCCACCATCGGGTTCGAGGGTTGCCGCCGCGACAGGCACCGACAACCTTGCGGCCGCAGCTTTTTTTTTTTTTTTTTTGTCTTTATTATAAAACAAAAAAAAATTGAACTTTTTCACAATATTCCAAGTTTCTGAGGTGTACCTGTAGTTTAACCAAAAAGGATCCAAAGATGACAGAATCAACATGTCATGTCTAAAGCATGTGGATCTGTAAATGTGCACACATTTCTTGCCCTGCTTATGAGATAAGTGTAACTTTATACCACATCACAGACTAAATAAATGAATAGAAAAACAAGCTGCATGCATATGTCCAAGTCTAAGTTCCTTTATGTTTATTTTTCAGTTGAGCTCAAGCATGCATGCTCCGACACATTTCCAGGACAAACCTACAGGCATGCAGCCAGATCACCAACAAGTTCTGTCAAACACTAGAACAGCCTGAAGAAAAATGGCAGAAACGTCACAATCGAGCTGCACTTTGAAGCTTCTATACTTTCCGAAAGCAACCGTTCATAAAAAGTCATGTTTTATTTTGGAATTTGTATTTTTTTTTTTTTGTAATTTGTCTGATTAAATTGTACAGGATTGGTCCTTACACGTTGTCATATGTAAAACATTAAATCATGTCATGTTGAATCAAGGCAGCACGGTGGCGCAACTGGTAGAGCTGCTGCCTCTCAGCGAGCAGGTCCTTGGTTCAAACCCCGGTCCAGGGGCCTTTCTGGGTGGAGTTTGCATGTTCTCTCCGTGCATGCGTGGGTTTTCTCCGGGTACTCCGGTTTCCTCCCACAGTCCAAAAACATGCATGTTAGGCTGAATGGTAACTCTAAATTGTCCCTAGGTGTGAGTGAGAGAGTGAATGTTTGTTTGTCTCGTTTGTCTCTATGTGGCCCTGTGATGGACTTGCGACCCATCCAGGGTGTACCCCGCCCCTCGCACAGTGATTGCTGGACATGGGCACCAGCGACCCCCGTGACCCAAAATGGAATAAGCGGGTAAAGAAAATGGATGGATGGATGGATGTTGAATCAAAACTTAAATGAACTGCACTGCGACTGAGGGATGACTCGAGGCAGAAAGTTTTGCTGCTTTTAGTTTTTGTAATGTGTCAGATTAATGGCTGTGTATTGAGATACAGAGCAGATATATGAAATCCTCATCGGATGGGAATCACAGAATTACTCTAACCAGCATATACTTGCATATACTTGAACAGCCTGGGATAAACAATGTGCGTTTAAACAAGACAAAAGGATAAAACGATTGTCAGGTGGCAAAGCCCAGAAGTCCAGCAGGAAGGCCATATGCCACAGAGATAAAACACTCCACAGTTGGTTATTTGGTGGATTAGTGGCTGACTGGACCTGCAGCAGCTGAATACTAGAGAGCAAGTTTTTTTTTTTTTTTAGTCTTTGCTGTCTGAACTTACCTGGCTGTGGAGAACAGATGGATGTGAATCAAGAGGGAGATGAATTGTAGAGCTGGCCACACGTTTATGTTGCGGTTTGACACCTTCACAACACTCAACACAGTCAAAGTTGCTCTTCCAGACCAGAACCTGTTGAAAGATTATTACTTATTCTCAAGCAATAAATCAATGACAGAATGAAAACTGACGTCAACCGTCAATTAACGCCATCAATTTGTTTAGTTTTATGTAATTTATTATAAAGAAATAAAATAGAAAATAAGTCTTCACCTGTTCATCAGAACCTCCAGAGGAAAAGTACTCCCCTGTTCTAGAAAAGGCCACACAAGAAACAGGACCCTGGAGTGAAGGAAATTGAAATGGAAAGATGTCAAATTAAAATAACAGACTAATTCAATCCAGTCTTAACTTTGAACCATCAGTGCTCCTAACTTCCTGGGAATGAAAATCATCATCAGGCTGATAATTCCTTGGCTGAGATACAAAACTGCAAGAACCCTGAAGTGAAGGAAACTGAAACAAATCAGTGATGGATCATTGTGATGAAATCAAGCATCCTGTTTCCAGATTTAATTTACCAGCAATGACCGTTATCATTAGTATTTATTATCAAAAAACATCATTATTTTACTTAGATATTGATATAAATTAGCAAAGATTTGGTTATTGCATTAATTTTATGATAAAACAAGATCAGTCAAAACAAAGGCTTTAAATACTTATCAATAAGTCATAACATAAACATTCACTTGCGTCTCCAGTTGCCATTAAAATCCCTCGGACTTCCCACAAGATGAACAATGAATGTCCGAGTTGGCAGAAATCACCTGTACTGAGACATTAGCCACAGATTCTTTGGCCCCTGTGGGTTGTGGCTGGCAGTGTGTTGTGTTCAGGTTCATTCATGTTTCGTCACACACAGTAACTATGAATATGAATAATTAAATATATCTCCTCTGCCAAGAAATACAGTCAGTGTGTAGGTGTTATTTAAATGAGGGGGAGTAAACAATGTAATTAAACACTGTACAAAATACAACAGTGGGTACTTTTTTTAAATAATATAAAACAGCAAGGGCAGCACGGTGGCCCAACTGGTAGAGCTGCTGCCTCTCAGCAAGCAGGTCCCTGGTTCAAACCCCGGTCCGGGGGCCTTTCTGGGTGGAGTTTGCATGTTCTCTCAGTGCATGCGTGGGTTTTCTCCGGGTACTCCGGTTTCCTCCCACAGTCCAAAAACATGCATGTTAGGCTGATTGGTAACTCTAAATTGTCCCTAGGTGTGAGTGAGCGAGTGAATAGTTGTTTGTCTCGTTTGTCTCTATGTGGCCCTGTGATGGACTTGCGACCCATCCAGGGTGTACCCTGCCCCTCGCACAGTGATTGCTGGACATGGGCACCGGCGACCCCCGTGACCCAAAATGGAATAAACGGGTAAAGAAAATGGATGGATGGATAAAACAGCAAACCAAAACTGGAGGGACCAAAAAAGAGTTGTGTGTTTTTAATCCAAGTCACTTTCTTTATTTCTTTCTTTCTTTGGCATTCAAGTCTTTCATGTTGTATCAAAACAGTATGTCAAACAAACCTACTGGATCCAGGAAGTAATTCTTGTACAAAACATTTGTGTCTTTAATCCATTTAAGGAAACAAAATCATGATCAGAGTGTGTGTGTGTGTGTGTGTGTGTGTGGGTGATTGTGGAGGATGGGTTGGTGTGTCAGGCTGCAGCTGAGCAATCGATAAAATCAACAAAGAGCTAAGACAAAGGTTGAGTGAGATTGCACATGGTAAGAGCCAAAACAAAAATCACTTGGGGATGTTAGCGCTGTTTGTGTGTATGCGCATGAGCCAGAAGAACAGTTCTGAACCTGAGAAATCACACTTCAAGATGTTTTTCCACTTCTGAACCTACTGACTGTGTCCAAAGAAAATGGAAAAATAAAGAAAAGTAGGAAGGAAAATAAAAGGCAGGCTGCTGAGACAAAAGAAAGGAGAACTGTGTCCTGTTGTTGGCACCCAGACAGGTTGGTTTGACTGAAGATGGTTTCCCAGAAGCACCTGAGAGAAGCAGACAGTGTCACCATGGCAACGCGACGGCCTGACAGACAGCATGTTCTGTCTCTGCTCTGACTAATATGCACTGCCAGGCTGGCACTTGCTTTGAGCACGCACGTGCGCGCACACACCCACAGTCATATACCTATCTGGTACATTTTGTCTTTGATAAATGAACAATAATTGTAGAAAGTGGCAGACTGAACCCGTATGGTGCTGTCTAAAAATAATTAAAAAATGATTATGTATTGTGTGTTTTAGTTCGTTTGCTGTTTTATCATTCCATCTAATGTAACCTGTCTCTAAATCTCTACCTCCAAGTTACAAAAAGCTGCCTTTTTTTTATTAGCGATCTAAATAAATATTGTTTTGTTGTTTGTTGCTCTGAAACTTACAAATCAGTGGTGTTGTAAAGTGTATGCGGTATTCCCCCAAGTAGAAGAATACTTTGATTTCAGTAACATGTCTTAACTTAATTTTAAACCACTTCCAACTACTGTATTATCTGCCGTACACGTCGCACCGCCCTATAAGTCGCATCAGTCCAAATATGTCTAATAAAGTGGAAAAATCCATAAATACGTCGCTTCGCTGTATACGTAGCATCTATTATGCGTCACTGATGACGTGTCACGTTTATTACACACATCACTGCTGACAACCCAGAAATGCGAGCTGAACCCAGAAATGTGGGCCGGTGTTGTGCCAAAAATTGATTGGCTGCCAAATGGTGGCAGCAGGAGCGTGCACGGGATGACTTTAACAAGAATTTAACAAGATTAACACTTAAAAAAATATATTTGTTTGCTCAAAATTATAGTAAAGGTGTGTCTTAGTCTGACTTTTACTTAATAAATGCATTTTGACGGTCACATCAGATGCATTTCAAAAGCCGATACGCGGAAGCGTGCACGCGCAGAGGGACAAGTCGCTGCTCATTTCTTCGAAATGTAACAAGATAAGCACCTAAAACAATTATTTGTTTGCCCGACATTATAGCAAAGGTGTGTCTCAGTTGAACTTTTCCTTAATAAATGCACCTTTAAGGTCCAATTAGCTGCATTTCACCGAGGCGGCGCATTGAAATGAAGCTGATTTGACAGTTGCTCCAAGCGAGTAGAACGAAGGTGGCAGGATAGGGCAAGCTGATTGTGTCATTAATAGCCACTTTTTACCTACTACATGACACAACGGCATGCCAAACTACTTGAGTGCCATCTAGCAGCTGAAAATTGAAGTGTTCAATATTTTCAGTCTAAATGAATGAAAATGGTCAGATCTCAACCAAAAATTGGTTCATAAATATAGGAAAAAATCCATAAATATGTCGTTTTGGCATATAAGTCGCAGGGCATGCATATTGTGCAAAGAAAATTGTGACTTGTATAGCAAAAAATACAGTTTATTTCCTAAGTTGAAGGGGGCATAATATTACAATATGTCACTGTCTTCAGCCATCCATCCAATTTCTGCCGATTTAAATCTTTTCAGTATAAAATACCCTGCAAACCATAAAATACGAACATATTTTTTTTTAAAGAAAAAGTATGCAGCCAGCCACAAACCAAATGATCCACTGATCCTAGAACGAGTAGTTGAGAGAACTCTGTTTTAAAAGGTACAATTTGCTTTTAAGTGGGTGCTGTTCTGAGTAGCAGTTAGCTTAACTCCTGTGTGAGAAATCCTCCATGATTCTCCAGACTGAAATCCCTCCAACTACTGTTTAATGCACACACTTACTGCTCAGAAGTACTCTACACAACCCTGCTTAAACAAAGCTGAACCATTCCTTTGATTAGCCCAATTTAACTCAAGCCAGGTAACAGCCTCTCGAGGCTTGGTAAACAACACATTTGTCAGATCCAAAGACAAAACACTAACATGTTTTCATATAAAGTACAGGCACATGGGCCTCCACATAAACACAGCATAACATATGTGAAGAGACACATAAACACAAGAATTTGCACACCCACACTGAACAGATGGGGGTCTCTCCCATCTCGAGATATGCGACAGGAGAGCCAATTAGCACTTCGAGTGGTCCTGGCACCAGCAGATTGGTGGTGTCACCACAGAGCCAAACGAAGCAGAAACTGAGACAAAGTATAGAAAATGACAAATCTGCAGGTGGAAAGGGAGAACAGAAAAAGGTGTTTTTTTTTAGCTTGACAAAGAGATGATTCTTGGCAGCTGGCTGCAGAGAAACACAGGTGACAGAGACAAAAGACAGAATGAAAGACAGGCAACACGTGCGGGGGTGGGGGGTGGGGTGGGGTGGGATAGATAAACAGATGGACCACATGTGGTACTGGCAAGCCACCGATTTCAACAACTAGCCAGCAAGCCAGTCCATCAGCTGTTCAAACAAACGGACCCAGCCAGCACGCCGTCCGGACAGCAATGTGAGTTCATCAGATGTGGGACAAGTAGAGGTGAAAGAATCAAAGTCAGGAGGGAAAGGGGAACACTCAGAGATAACTTTGCTGAGGAAAACAACAAGACAAAAGCAGAGAAGCAAAAGGAAGTGAGATGATCCCCAGAAATGGGAGCAGAAACACAGTTCTGTTTCCTTCCAACAATCCTAAGATGAGTCATCATGAGTGGGCTGCCCGCTCGCCAGGCAAGTTCTAAAATATACCAAATACAAAAAAGGCATCATGCGCACACACTCATGCACATACACAGTTAAGAGAGTCAAACATGGACAAAGAAGGTGCTAAACGCTCACACAGAACTGTTCACACCAACACACCTCCTCTATGTGTATGAAAAGCTGAACAGACTTGACCTATGCTGGTCAGAACCACATAAACTAAACCACTAGGAGCTTGGCACATAAAAATAGAACCTACAGTATATGTTGTGGGTCTGTGTGTGTATGGTTACCTGGTGTCCATGCAGTGTATACAATAATTTGCCCTCTACAAGGTCCAGCACTTTCACTGTAGAATCTCTGGATGCAGTGATTAGAAAATTACCAGAAGGATGGAAAGACAGACCATTTACAACACCGCTGTGAACTGAAAAACACAAAGAACAGACTATTATTGATCTTATTTACAGTAAAAATGTAGTTTAATAACATGTTTATGCATATGTTAAATGATAAACAAGATTACTTTGACAAAAAACGGTAATGTCTTCAGGTTACTGTTCAAATTTGGAATTTTGAGTTCTCAATCTTTCCAAGCTTTTAGTGTTTGCCAAACATCTTCCAAAGAAACACGTTTAGGTTCAGATTAACATTTTCTGTTTGAGTTTTCACACATGAGTGTCTTTCCATCAGCATTGGCAAAATAAAGTCAAGTAAACACAAGTTTGACAATGTGTAGACTTCTCAAATAAAATTTAGATTATTAAACCCTTAAACAAAAATGGATTAAATTATATAGCTAGTTTATATTACAACAAACTGGTACATGAAGTAAAGTTGGCTTTAGTAACTAATCATTACTTCTGTCATTAGAAAATGTACCTGCCATATCCTAAATCTCTTAAATTAAACTGTGAACATAAGTTATGTAATAGCAATAGGTCCCTCTGCAGGCCTAAAAGTGCTACAAGATATCTACAAGCTGAAAGAAAGTGTTGGATAGGTGCAAATGACTACAAGAAAAGCCATAAATGGATTTTTTACCATCACCTAAGTTCAATCAAGCACAGAAAGCATGAATAACAACCTAAAAAGGCAAGAAAAACACAAGAGGACATTCTGCCTTCACACCTCCCTCATCTGCTTTTCTAATGCAGCATCTTTCATCATGCTTACAGACGCCTGCTAATGATAATAATTAATATAATTTTCATGTGTATTTAATAGTAAATGCTCAACATTTTGACAATTTGTCACTTCAAGCGGATCAAACTTGTATATACAGTATGTGAAGTGAGGCAGAGTGGTAGAAAAGAGGAGGCGGAGGAGCTTTTATCTTCACTCTCAGTTTTCACAGGCAGATGTGATTATCCATTATTAGATCTCTCAAACGAAATCCATTTAGCAGAAATGATTTGCGCAATCAGCCTGAGTGGCAGACTGACAAAACGGCATCAACATTCTGTGTATTGATTTGGTAAGACACCATTCCTTTTAATTGCTGCTCTAATTAGAAGATTTAAATCTTTATGGGAACAGATGGATATTTCAGTTTAATTTTGTTGTAAAGCTTAATTAAATGAAAATAAGTTTTTTATATTGGGTGTATTGCGTTCCCAAGTATACATTTATTCTGGTATAGTAAGTGAAAAGTGTTATATGTAGGTAAAGTGATAAAGAAAAAGTTTTTCTAAAAACCAACAATGCTCAGTCAGGTCACCTGTTTTTTTTATTTTTTGCTGAGACGTTTCTTTCGTCCTTCATCCAAAGGACTTCTTCAGTCTGAGGAGCGACCAAACCAAAACTGATTCCCACAAACAGCATACTCCATAGTGGAAAAAAACAGTTTGCTGGTACTAAGATGGCCCCTGGGGCCCACCCTCTCCCCTGTCAACTCCTCTGAGGCAGCCATAGCCAAAGTGGTTCAAAACACCAAAGTTCATGCTCAATAATTCAGGTATAAAATCCAACAATGTTCAGTCATGTCATCTGGACAGTTTGTTTTTTTGCTGAGATGTTTCGTCCTTCATCCAAAGGACTTCTTCAACGTGAGGAGCCACAAACAAACTGAGTGAGTCCCACAAACAGCACACTCCATAGCAGAAAATAAAACTTTTTTTTTGCTGGTGCTAAGATGGATGCCCTTTGGATGAAGGACAAAATATCTCAGGAAAAAAGAAACCGTCCAGATGGCCTGACTGAACATTGTTGGATTTTATACCTGGATAATTGAGCATGAACTTTGGTGTTATTCTAAAAACATTAAAGTATGTCTGAGGCTTGTGTTTAATTTATGAAAACACCAGTTTATGTTTTAAAACAACGTAATGTAAAACAGTGGCTTAAATGGTTTTACCAGGGTAGTGTTGAAGCATCTTCTGGGATCTGATGTCCCACACCTTAACAGAGTGGTCAGTACTAGCTGCAGCAATACAAGTTCCACTGGGATGAAAGTCCACATAGTTTGCAAAACTAGGGAAAAAAACAAAACAAAACATGGTAATGCAGTTTTACACATAAACATCCTGTTCAGCCCAACGCATGGAGTGAAGCATCGGAATGCACTTTAGCTTAAAATTAATTGCTTTGACTTTGTACCTTCAAATAGTGGTTGCAAAAACAAGATCTACACTTTAAATATCCTTCAAAATCTGTTAATATTAAAGATATTTAGGCTTTTATATAAAAATCTAAGAGTAACATAACGACAGAGTTAAGGGAGTGAACCACACAAAATTAAATACAAATTAATTAATTAATTAAATAAATACAACAACTCGCTGTAAAGGAATAACAGTAATCTTATTTTACTGTAGTCACTGCATACACATACAAGCATTCAAATTACAAGGATTACACACACAAAAAAAAAAAAACAGACTACTTCCTGTTTCTTCTGCACTCATCAATATATTTCCTATCCACGTTACTCTGATTCATCCTTCTGGTTTGAAGTGCTCACCCAGCATGTTCAAGGAAAGAATGAATGCACTCTCTACTGTTCTTGTCCCACAGTTTGATGGTCTTATCATCGCTGCACGACACAATCAAACGATCATCCGGAGAAAACCTGACGAAAAAAAAAAAGAAAAGAAAAAGAAACGCGCACAAAAACGTTCAAGCAAAAGTTTGTTGGATGGTAAATACAAAGAAAGAATGTAAAAAACATAGAAGGAATGCAACAGGCCACATGCAAGTTGAAATACAATATATGATTGATTGAATGAATTGATTACATTTGGCTGAATGTACAATAAATCATACCAAGTTGTATGGTAATAAATACATATGAATGTGTGTCATACTTGGCACAGCGGACCCAGTTGAAATGCTGGTTAAGAGAGAAGAGAAACTTTTGTCGGTGGACTGTCCACACTTTGATGGTTTTGTCATCAGATGCTGTGACCAGATTCTGTCCATCACCAGAAAAGTTAACACAGCGCACAGTGGCAGTGTGAGCCCTGAACACTGTTGAATCAGCCTTCCTGTAAACACACAAGACAGTACTAATGTGTAAAGCAAACAAACCCCTACCATGTGATCAGGGTGCCTTCTGCTAAGCTGGTAAGAGGAAATGAGCAGATCCTGTTTATAGACATTAAGCTAGTCTTATGTAGTAATTTTAGGATGAATGAAGTTATGAAATATAGAAAATGCTGCTACTTATGAGCATACATGCTGGGCACCCAAAGGCGCACAGTCTTGTCTCTGGAGGCAGATGCCACCAGGTGGCCAGATGGAGAAAACTGAACAGAATTTACAGCTTCTTTGTGTCCATCAAAGCGATAGGCTCTCATCTGAGGCTTCATATTCCAGATCATCACACAAGAGTCCATAGAGCCTGTGGCTGGAAGAAGAGGAGGCACAGATGAGCGAAGTACAAAACTGTTTATGACCACAATAAACACACAACAAAACGAAAGACATCAGATATAAATACACACACTCAAATGATTACATAAAATAGAATGAGACCGTTACCAATCTGTTTCATGTTGCAGCTGAAGTCCACACTCGTCACAGTGTCTCTATGACCCTTAAAATGTCTCTCTAGGGTAGGATCAGACTATGTGAACAGAGACAAAGACTCAATGATAATAAAACCAAGGTAAAAAAAGCAAAGTTTTACACTTTTACAGATAGAAATCCAGATGCACACCAACATTGTGAAGATTTATACTGCCCAAAGCATCATCTCTCAACTCTCAATTACTCTATGTCCAATGACATCCAGCCAAGTAGGTGCAGAACAATGCTGACAGATACACAAACTCACAAAAGTAAAGTAGGGAGGCAGTATACTAACAATATTTGCTAAGAAGGAATCAAGAAATCTAAGAAACTCTCCATGCACTTGATAAAAATTAGTTAATGATTTAGTTCTGTTAACAATCAGTTCTGCCGTTTTTCTCAAAGTTGTTTTTACCGCAGCGGGTACATATGGTTTTCCTTCTTGGTATAGTAAAACACCTGAGAAACGACTTTAGATTATCCTATTAAGTACAACACTTTTTTAATCTGCTGCAAAATTACTAAAAAACTAAATTTAGAAGAAATAAAAACCATCAAGTGACACTGTTTTACACCTGTTTGGGAGCAGATGATGGGGGTGAAGGGCTTTGCTCAAGGGCCCAGAGTGGGGCAAATGAAAGTGAAGGCAGGTGTTTCACCTTCTCCACCAACATTTTGATGTTGTCAGTCCAGGGAGATGAACCTGCAACTTTCCGATCACAGGTCTATTTTCTCTAATCTCTGCGCCACCACTCCCCAAAACTTGATTATTATTGGTTATTATTAGTATTAAACTTGATTGTGTATAATTACTACTAGGAGTGAGCTATATACCCCATTACTCACAAATATTAAAGTATACTAGTATTTTTAAACAATGCACTCAACTTTCCACCAATCAAAAAGCAAAAACAAAACCCATGTTTGCATCTTGAATCTCCTGAATTTATTTTAATTTTACGTGTTTCTTTTATTCCTTTCACTTTTATCATCATCTTTATTTTAAGTGTATATGATTAATTGTTCAAACCCCCGGCTAACATTGTTGTGTTCATTTATTTATTGTGCTGTTCACAATTGTTACAAATAAAGTTTTGTTAAAATAGTAGCTTTAACCCTGCGTTCAGTCTGTCAGGTACACACGTATAATTACATAACATTTGCAAAATACAATCAATGAAATTAGCTACGGTTCATTTATACATTTTACTAACTAATAAAGTAAAAACAAAACTTTTAGCTAGACATGGCATGTCTGTCTGAACAGCCGTTTGATCTTCTAATTAAGCCGGACCTTAACAGGAAGTGCAGCCTAACAAACAACGCTCTGGGTGGAATGCCACGTGACCACAACAGGGCGGGCTGGGTTACTAAGGAGACGTGAGCTTTGTTGCCTTAGCCGTTAGCTAAGAAGACGGAAAGAGGACTTCTACTCCTGCATGTTCAGGTCAAAGCGGACACGTGTGAGATGGCAGAGCTTCATATTATAGGACATATAGTCGGGGCTAGTGGTTTTCCGCAAAATAGTTTATTTTGCAAATGGGGAGTTCATACGGGAGGAGCATGGCGTCTTCTCTCTGGGCTGAAGGAGGGTCAGACTCAGGTGGACATCCCTCAAATCGGTGAAATGGCTTATTGGAGTCACCCGATTGATCTTCACTATGCGACCAAGGGACTCCAAGGCTGGCCGAAGATCCACCTGCAAGTGTGGCACCAGGATTCATTCGGCCGCTGCCAGCTGTATGGATACGGGTACTGCCATGTTCCCTCCAGCCCCGGACATCACCGGATAAGCTGTGTGACCTGGAGGCCGCTCGGCTCCTGGCAAGAGCAGCTGGCACAAAGGTTTGTCGGCGGAGGCCCCCAGCTGCGCAACCCGGACCTTATTTACAGTGGGGCGGACAGATACAGACTGCACACCGAAGCCATGGGGACCGTCGAGCTGGAGCTGGGAGTCATCATGAGACACTTTGACAAATATGGCGTCGAGAGCTGAGATGTCGAATGTGTGTGTGTGTGCTTTTTTTAATTACATTTTTTATGTTAACGTGAAGAACTTCTAAGACTCACATAAACGCCAAAGTTTTGTACGTTTTTCTAAATTCCATTAACTTTTTTTTTACACTCAAAATACAGCAATTTGTAAATAAAGCAACGTCAAAGAAGTTGGTTTCGTATTAATATATATGTTCCACATGTTCTCAAGTTTCGTTCACAATCCAACACTGCTCTTAATGTTTAATTACGATGTTGTGTATACCTGAACAATCTTAATGAGGCACTCAAAACTCAATAAAACTGTAATCAAATTGATTAAATCAAATAGAAAAACTTTTGATTTAGTTTACAGATATGTTGATAAGTTTCTTCATTGTCATTCGCATCACATGTGGTACATGAGGTGGAACAAAATTGCGTACTCAAGGTTCCAGTTACACCCAAAAATAGCAAACATATAAGTATAAAAAGAAAGTATACAATAATCTAAGAGATATGCCAAATGCTAATAATGTAAAAGAGTACAGTATATTAAACAGCAGCCCGAACATGAGTCTAGTGAGCAGATGGGTATGAATACAGCAGTTTAAAGGCAAGAGATCAGCAGCACAGATAAGTCGATGATCAGCAGCACGGCTAATATATGGATAAGCAATCTTGAAATGCGGATATACAGTACACCCAATGTAAACAAAGCACATTATCCAATCTGAGAGTAAATTTGTGCCAATATGTCAAAACTGACTTCTCGATTCCAAACTGCTCCTTCACGAACGTCGCCATTTTTTTTTTTTTACCCTTTATTTATCCAGGTAGTCTCATTGAGCCACGAGAACTCATTTTCAAGAGAGACTTGTTTAGGGAGCAGATGGGGGTTAAGGGTCTTGCTCAAGGGCTCAGTGTGGGGTGAATGAGGGTGGGGGCAGGTGTGAGTGCTTCACCTACTCCACCCACATTTTTGATGTTGTCTACCGGGGCTTGAACTGGCGATCTTCCGATCACAGACCCACCTTTTCTAACCTCTGCGCCACCACTCCCCATTTTTGACCCATTTTCAGTCATTTCATCTGTTTCCATAGAGACGCATGAAGCCATCAATGTGAAAAAACAAATGTTGGATTTTTTTTTTAAAACGACTTTTTCAGCAGATCTTCATGACATTGCAATCAGACCCTTTAAACAAGGCCAAGTTTAATCGTGAACGGCTGGAAGAAAATCTGCCTGTGCATGAATTCTGTTGATTGTAATAAACTCACTAGGGTAACTGATAAACAAGTTGTAAAAAAGACTAGCTTTTGTGACCATGGGATTTTTAATTTACCACTTTTAATTGAACTTTTTCCATTCATTCAACCTTTATTTATACAGGTTAATAATCCCATTGAGCCTCGGGGACTTCACCTATCAGACTGCTAAACAACAAATTGTTAATAGTTGTACTGTATAAAAATATATTTGATGTAACCTTGTAATAACGTCATTCTAATTAGAGAAAGCTAAGACATAAAAGTCATAGATGGTCATATTACTTAAAAACTATAACGCGTAGGACACTCTGAATCAGAAACGAGCTTCGCGTCAGTTGCTTCAACAAGTGCTAATTCAAACTCACCATCGCTGAAGTAATATTGTTCCTGATAATGGAGACTTATACCCGGAGAGAGCGAGTTGCTATTGCTGCGACCGAAATACAGCCGCACTCCGCTCCCGTTTTCAGGACGAGATGGGTGAGAAAACCTAGTTCTGTTCGCTTTCTCGTTAGTTAAAGTTAGCTTAATGCTAGCCGGTAGTTGCTAACAACAAACGAGTTGAGTTTGCGCGCGCAGTTGGGCGCTGAGCAGCTGGTCGGAGCTCTTAAAGGGGACGTTGGACCGTAAACGACATTTGAGTCGGCACAAACGTCGATTAAAATAGACAAAAAAGGGTCACATTTTACATATATATAAAAAAACGGATTCAGAATAGAAAAGTGAATTACACTTTTAAAATAAGTTCCTCGAAAAAAGTGAAATGTAGTAACCACTTGTTGCCACAAGGGGTCAGCAGTGCTGCATTGTGGTTATAGAACAGCAGGTGCTGAATTTAGAGGGCAGTTTGCAGTAGCTTTTATCTATATAAACATTGTTTTAACCATATGTTTGTGCATGTATGTGTGTAAGAGGCAGTATATTACACACTTACAAATTTAGCAATATAAAATACATGTGCATTTAACCAAAACAAAAGGGCTTTACAACATGGAAGCATCCTCAAAAAGATTGCTAAGAGATGTTGAACGAACACTTCAAGGCCCTTGATCATGTCAGTTAATTCTTAAAATAGGTTATATCTTCCCATGATTTATTCTGCACAGTTAATTCAAAAGCCTAAGGTGTAAGGATCTTTGGGTCATCTGGCCCTGTTGTCTGGTTGGTAATCCTGCTGTGAGCATCCTTTTAGCAAACATGTTACGGGTATGGCGCCTTATACAGAGATAACATGGCTGAATGTAGGTCAGATTATCTAAACTAGAAATGTTTGGTCACATGTCCTTTAACTTGACCTGCAATAAATTTTGAGATACAGTAATTCCAAGTAACCAGCAGGCTACAGACAGATGGAAATCATAACAGCTTCTTCTGACCTTCTTAGTGCAAACATATACTTTATATAAATCACCTTTCAGGCTCTTCCCTCTGTAAGGTTAGATGTGTGAAACAGCAAACGAGCCAAACCACAAATACTTTTATAAGTCACCTTTCTTAGCTCAAGTTTGTGTGGCTTCACCAGCCGTAATTATGTTTCCTTAACACCATTTACCGTATGCTATCTTATGTCTGTTTTCATAAACTAATTCCAAAATCAACCAGAACTTCCTCCACCAATTTAGGAGTCTTTTCACTAAAACGGTAATTAAATAGTTGGAAAGAGTTACGTAAGGCTGAACACATTATTTTATGTAAATGGGATTCTCAAAACTTGATAAACTCACTGATGTGAGACATTTTACTAATCCTAATCAATAATCAAAAGATCTAACATACTTTATATGTTTTACGCAATTTATTAAATATGGCCAATGAGGATTTTTATAGCTCATTCAAGTCATTTATGTCCCAATATTCTGTACTTAGCGTCAATCAGATGATGTAAACGTTTCTTAGCAAGTGCGCAACCTTGTGAAAAGGATGTTGGAAGAGAACAAGCTGAAGTTCTTCCTTGTTTCATAGCTGCAAACCTGAACTAGTCTTGAGTCTTTCACACACAGAGAAAAACAGAAATTTATATTCAAATAGAAAATGTAATTTTAAACAACATATATCATTTCACCATCTTTTGCCTTCCAAAAGAAGAAAGTTAAAAATATTCTGTACCTGCGTGAACATATTTCCTTCTTCAATAAAGAGAATATTTTTTATTCAACTTGTGCAAGTTCTTGATTTATTTTATGACTTTTAGTTTCTGTAATGTCACAGTGGCAGTAGACTGCGGGTCTTTCCAGGTCAGATGTATTTTTGTGCAGCTATGCCTCCATTATTGGTCCTACAGCACTGAGAACACATATTCACTATAATTTACACCTTCTTGTGCAATTATGAACATTTTAAGCCTAAGTAAATAATAAGCAGTGTATATTTAGCATCCAAACAAAACTCAGAGAAAGATTAGTTTTTGATTGTGTTTGGGAGATGTATCCTTTTTCCTTCCAGAAACTTGAAAAAGGCACACCTTAACATCTGAAGAAGGAAGATTTCCTTTTGAGCCCTTAAGGCATGAACACTTCCGCCACAACAATGGTGGACAGGAACGTTGGTTTATTTTTAGACAGAACAATGGGTTTGATAAACGAGGAAATGTGAGGACTTAAATATTCACAGCGCAGGAACAGATTGTTTGTACAGTCTGTAGGGGTTTTATTTTTTAGTGTTGCACAAATTATTTAAATAGCAAGATTTTTAAAAGCAACCTAATCTGAAAATTGATAAAGACCCACAGTTTTTAATCAGAGATAATGCTTTATTTTTTTTTAATAATGACTTTTTATTTTAAGGATTTTAAGCAAAAGAGAGCATAATTAATGCATTCCAATAATAAGCTTTTATGTTTAGAGTTAGGGTTTCTCCACCAAGAGGCAAAGGTGGACAATAAGGGTTTTTGCCTCTGTGTGTTTGTGGGTGTGTTTATTGGGGCGGATGTGTGTGTGTGTGTGTGTGTGTGTGTGTGTGTTTGCTTGTTTGTGTTAGCAATCTATCCAATGAACCAGTGCACAGACTGAAATTCATCATGGGACAAACATCCACAGCTGATTAACTCTGGTGAACCTCATTCAAGATGGCTGCAAATAGTAGCCAAGACAAAAATGGCTATAACTCTGTGTACTTTGCCAACATTAAACTACAGTTTAGTGTAGCTGACAGCCATTCTCAACACATACTCCAAACAACAACACATCTCTTGAAAAATGTCTTTTGTAAGGATTTGTCTGGAATGGTTACAACTTTGGCATTTCTCAAAGTAAATTGGTCTTAGTTAAAAAATTCTCTTAAATTCCTTCAAGGAACGTCAAGCCTTTGTTTTCTATCTGAGCTCAAATGGCTGACTGTTTCTTCTCGTTAATCACCTCAGTCTTGTGTTTTCCTCTTTGCCCTCCATCATGAGTGAACTCATTTGCTTTGTTGCGTAATCATGGAATTCCCTCCAGGAATGATTGTGAACCTTAAAGATCCTCTTCCACAACACGGTGTTTTCTAGCTTTTGCATTTTCTCCTGCATTCTGCAAAAGATAATTATGTCAGTAGCTATCTATTTGGCTTATTTTATTATTGTCATAACAATCTGTAAAAGCTAAGCTTAAGCACTTGTTTAACATGTATGCGTAATTAGGGTAGATTTCAGTCAGATCTGTGGAAAAAAGATGAAAGGAAGACAAAAGCTATTTTTTGTCTATTTTAGCAGGTTGTCACACTCAGTGGACCATCCATACATGTTACAGATCAGGTCTTCAACACTGAAAATATTAAACATTTTTTGTTGTTGTTGTATTAGTATTAGGAAAACACTGGTTGTAGGTTGTGATTCTTCATCTTAGCTGTAGTTTCAGTGATGCTCCACTGAAATCTGAGCCCGTTTAGAGGCTCATTTTGTGGTTTCTTTAGGTGAGCATGCTCGACCCACTTACAGTATGCACCAGTGGTTTGATGTTTCACCTGCTTTCTTCACAGCCCATGTGATGCAAACAAGAGCTTATAAAACCATCTGCAGAGCTGACGTCTGCAATGGGTTTAAATAAAAAAATAAAAAAACATATAAATATCCTGTGCGGTCCTCCTCAAAGAAAGACACCTGGACACCCTAATTATAATCCTTTTAGTAAAATTCACAGATAAAAAGGGTTTAGTCACAATGACTCATCAAGTTTTGGAAATCTGGCACTGAACACTAGGGGAACAAAGTCACAACTGTTTGGGAGTTTCTGGCACACCTTCAATTATTCCAAGGTGCATGGACATAAAAACACCTGAGCAGGTAAAACTAACAAGGTTGAGTCAGGTCCACTGGATGGATTTTTTTGCTTTGATGAAAAGTTTCCTCTTTTATCCAAAATACTTCTTCAGTCTGAGGAGCTGCAACAAACTCAGTTTTATAAATAGCACCTTCTCATACTGGGTCAACCAGTTTGCCTCTGACAGCCAGAAACTAGTTGTTCATGTGCAAAAGGAGGAGCATCAGCTTAACGATTGTTAGTGCCCTGATGGCTGCTTGCTATTCACAGACAGCTGATTGATGCTCACAATAACAGCACTTTATGAGGGGGACAATTGGACTTGGAGGCCTTAAAAATGGCCAGACCTGTGACCTACTAATGCTGCTAACAAGATCCTCCATCTGCCTGCACACGCAGTACGGACCCGTTCGGTTTCGCAGGAGAACCTGGGCTGTTCTGTGTCTGCTGGACCCAGTTCTGGACTGCGGTCTGTAAGGGCAGCTACTGCAGTTGTTATTATCATCAAGCTGCTGACCCGACCTGCTAACAAGACTTGCTAATGCTGGCAACAAGACCACGCCGCTAACAAGACCACGCCGCTAACAAAACAGAACCATCCAAAAAAGTTCAATCTGGTCCTCTGGACATTCAAAAAAACAAAAAACAAAACAAAGCAAAAAAAAAAATGTAGAAACGTTTTGTCTCTAGTCTACACTCATCTCCAGGCCAGCGGTCACTCTTTCTGGGATGAAGATGTTCACATCCTGGACAGAGAGGAACGATGGTTTGAGAGAGGAGTAAAGGAGGCCATCTTTGTGAAAAGAAATCGTCCATCATTAAACAGGGGTGGAGGCCTCTGGGTTCAATTGTCCCCCTCTTACAATGCTGTTATTGCTAGTATCACTCAACCTCCTGTGAATAGTAAACAGCCATCAGTGTGCTAATGATCCATTGTTAGGCTGATGGTCCTTCTTGACCATGTGAGCAGCTGGTTTTGGTTGTCAGCAGCAAACTGGATGATCCACTCTGAGAAGGTGCTATTTAAGAGACTGAGCTGAATACAGCACCTCAGACTGAGGAAGTCTCTCGGATGAGAGACGAAACGTTTCTACATTTTTTTTTGCTTTGTTTTGTTTTTTGTTTTTTTGAATGTCCAGAGGACCAGATTGAACTTTTTTGGATTTTTCTACCTGGATTATTGAGCATGCATCAGGATAAAACAGAACCATGCTGCTGAAAAAACCTCACTGCTAACCGAACTGCACTGTAGATGTATTTCCTTCCTTTTCAACTTTTGGCACCTTGTGTTTAGTATTTTAGTAGTATTTTTAGTATGTTTTAGTATTTTTGCTGCATGCTTTGGTATTTCTTGTTGGGTTTTTGTGGCGAGTCGAGATGGTTCTTCTCGTCCTAAGCATTTCATTGCATTGTTGACCTTGTGTTGATTTTGCATATGACAAATAAACCAAACCTGAACCTGGTTCTCTTCACAAAGATGGCTTCCTTCATTCCTCTCTCAAACCATCATTCCTCTCTATCAAGGATGTGCACATCTTAATCCCTGAAAGAGTGACCGCTGGCTTGCAGATGAGTGTAGACCACAGAATCCTGGCCTGATGATGTTGCTGTTTTGTGATGGGTCATCCTTTTGGCCAGTGGCTTCTTTATTTCCCCGATGTATAAAACGTTTCAACATAGACAAACCCGTCCAGAGGACCCGACTCGACCTTGTTAGATGTAGCTATCTGGAAGATTGAGCATACATTGAGACATCTAAGCAGGTAAAGACTCCTGTATGGAGGACACAAGTTGAAACTGTGGGGGTTGTGGTCTGTGTTTCCTGGTGTCTAGCCCCATCTTTTGTTGTGTTTATGTCTTGTGTTCTCCTGATTCTCAGTTTCTGTTTTTTTATAGGGTTTGTGTTTTCCTAATGTATGGCTCCATCTGGTGTGTCTCTGCCAGTGGTGGGATGTAACTAAGTACAAGTACTTTGTTACTGTACTTAAATACATTTTTCATGTATCTGTATTTTACTAAGTAGAGTTAAACATGGGTACTTTCGACTTTTACTCCACTACATTTTACATTAAGTTTCTGTATTTTCTACTACATTACATTTCTATACTGTGTTGCGTTACAAGTTAATGCATGTTGCAGTTTTTTATTTGTTCGTTAGTTTGAAAATAACCAATGACGAGAGGGGTGTTGGTCCATTTAGGGTGTTGTCACACCTGATAGTCTGGTAGACTCGGTTCGATTGGGGATCAAAATTCAAAACATTTGTTTACATTTGCAGCTAGTGCAGTTTGCATTCACACTGCAATGAGTCAGTCGAGCCAACTTGTTCCCCACCCTCGCATGTGGTGGCGCTACACCAAGAACTACTAATGGAAATGACATAAATACTTCTGAAGAAGACACTTCTTCTTCTTCTTCTGGAAATAAAAACAAAAATGGGGTGACGTCAAATTTGAGCAGTTTTAGGATTTCTGTTTTGGCTGTGGCTCATGTGCCAAACAAACATTTTTCAACAGTGGACTCAGTATGAGCGGAAGATGAGGCAGAAGACCATGGAGAATTATGTTTTTCACACAAGGCGGCTGACGGCTCCGTATGAGGTATAAGAAATGCACGTTTGTTTTGCTTGTATTTACACAGAATGCCTTGCGCTGTAGTCCACTTCCTGTTTTTGAAGCAGTCTCTGGTCCGCTTGCATTCACACTGCATTAGAACTGCGCCAGAGTTCACTTCAACTGGACTGAGACCTAGGTTTTTAGAAGAACAAGTGATAAAATTTTTTGGTCTGCGTCAGAGTTCAATTGAACATTCACACCTCCCCAAATGAACCAGACTTTCTAAGAAAACGGACTAGAGTTCGATTAAAGCAGACTAAACAGGGCTGGTGTGAATGCAACTTGAATCACTTCAAAGTGGGCAGGTAACGTTAGACCCGCCTTCAAGAAGAGCTAGGCCAATGACCTATATACTACTACAGGTATATACATCATTGAGCTGGACACACCCACGGCACCATTGACACACCTAAAATGGATTCCACCATGGAGAGTCAGCCAGAAGATACGAGCCACCCATGGCCTTATTGAAAGATTATTGAAAGACTATTGAAAGGCTGTTCAGTACAGCAGGACAGATTCTATCTCCCAAAAGAACCAGATTGGACTAAAAAAACCTTGAAAACCAACTTCTTCTGAACTTGAACAAGAAATTCTTGCTGCAATATTAAAATGGGTCAGTTCATGGATGTTAGGACAGGAGACAAGAGATGTTTCCAAATGACTCAACACTCAGGTCCAAGTTTTGAAAATGGTGTCAGGAAGTTAAAATATTATCACTATTGACCCATTACAAGGTTGACTAGACAGTATTTTAACTAAAGTTGATGCCAAACTAGAGTTGAAATGATCAGATATTCCTTTGTTTGGTCTAATGCTCCTTTTTTCAGTCAGACAACTTTTACTTAAATGTTTTTACTGCAGTTAAAATGACACATTGGTTTTGCTTTGTGTTAAATAAAAACTTTCAAAGGTATACGTAATCATTCCTCTTTCTTATTTTGCTTAATGACATTTAACTCTGCATGTCGTCCCTGAAATTCTGATGCACAGAATCACAAGTCCAAGTGTGAACGGTGTCACACAATAAAAACATGTATTATCTGCAGCATTGTTCATTAAATCTAAAACAGTTAAACCTGGTCCTCTGGACATTCAAAAACACAAAACAAAGCAAAACAACAAAAAAATGTAGAAACGTTTCCTCTTTCATCCAAGAGACTTCCTCAGTCTGAGGTGCTGTATTCAGCTCAATCTCTTAAATAGCACCTTCTCAGAGTGGATCAACCAGTTTTGCTGCTGACAACCAAAACCAGCTGCTCACATGCTCAAGAAGGACCATCAGCCTAACAATGGATCATTAGCACACTGATGGCTGTTTATTATTCACAGAGGGCTGAGTGATACTAGCAATCACAGCATTGTAAGAGGGGGACA